ATATATATAACCATACCGTACGTTGAACGGAGTGGATCGATGACTAACTGATGACGATGACGGGTCATGAGAGTAAGCAAATCCCCAACTCGTCATTAGTCTCGTCATTAGTAGTGTCGTAGTACCAAACCTCCTGTATTCAGAGAAGCGCGTCCGAGAGGATCTGGCAGGCGACCGGATACGTCGTAAGTTTCCTCCTGATAATAAGAGGAATTTTTTCCTTTTTTCTCCTACACCCCTGTTTATTTCTCTTTCATCTTTCCATAACGTGAGTCACGTGATTATGATTATTAGGTATCTCACCATAAATTATACTTTCGATTAAAGGAAAAATAGGTTGTCAGAGCTGCAAACTATAGAGAAGAACTAAATAAGCTTGTTGAAATGGCTTCCATTTAATTGCTCTTACAATGTATAACGTAATTTGTAAGTACTGATCTCTGGTTCAATCGTTTTTCAGACTTTACATAAATATTTTTTTCTAAAAGCAGTCACGCAGTGACTCTGTTAACCTCAGCGCCAGAAGACCTGTGCCTTTTTAGAGGATGTATATAAAGGGTGGCCAACCTTTTCAACGGTTGTGCTAATTTTATGTTCTGAGTAAAGTGTCAGTGACCCGAAAAAGCACCCCAAACCAAAGTCTATGGGTACGAGCAGTTAAAAAGAGTTTACAAATCAAATACAATAATTAATAATATGACATGCCTTTTTGATAACGTGCTACAACATGCATAATTTTCTAAATAATAAAGCTGCCTCAAGTTTTCGCCTCGTGTGCAGCTTGCGGCACGCACGCCACGAGCTGGCCATCTCTTGTATAGAGTACTATCTGTACGACAATGTATTTTTAGTGACAGTATTTTAATTAATTACCACATTATAACATTGGTTAATTCGTGAAGAATGGTTTTAGATATGCTCAGTCAGAAGCTATTAGTTTCGACCTGAAGTATAAAAACATAAAATTATTAACACTTGTTAACCAAATTTCACGAAACTGATCACATTAAATCATGTTGCGTTATTTTTCAAACTAATATGTTGGTCATGGATACAAAACGAACACGTTTTATATTGTTTTCGTTATACAAACCGGTGTTTCATGAGTTTTGTTTAGTAATCTATATGCAGCGTGATCTTTCCGCTCGTTTTTTGTAGCTTAATACATGAAGGATTTTGTTTCCGGTCTAAGTTGCGTTGTGAAACACCACTTCAGTGATGACACCTGTATGAAGATCGAACTTTATAGTTAGTGTAAAATGTCACAATTAAGTATTTTATTCAGGTTAATTCTAACCTACTTTAATACACTAGGCCTATTTATTATATAACACAGTCTTGCGACCTTTTTATCAAAATTATCTATTTTTCTGTGATAACTGTTAAAACAAAGTAATTTAAATGGAGGTATACGTAACAACACAGTTTGATGGATTTT